CCTTATATAATATATATTATTATATATAATATATTATATTATAATATTAAACTATAATATAGTATTATATTATTATGTTATAATATCATAATATTATATCATAATCATCAGATACTATGAGTTTATCATGATGCACAATGAGTTTTGGCAAAATTTTATGTTGGTTGCCAACCTAAGACAACCATGCCCGTTTACCTATGCATGGGATGGGATCATAATATTATTAAATTGTTCCATATTATTAAAATATTATACTATATAATGAATTATATATAAAAATATTATTATAATATAGTTTAGTAATTTGACCTATCTGAGAGGCTCATGCATGCTTAAAGTGGAGCAATTGACTAAAATATACATATTGAACAAGAGCAATTTGCATATTTTTTAAGATATTTTAAGAAAAAGTATACAAATAAATCATTTACTTTTAGTATAAGGTGGTCATAATCATTCATGTATATTAAATTTCAAATTGGGTAGTTATGAGTGTATCATTAATTAGATTCAAAGGTCAAAATAAAATTTCTCTTTGTAACATATCCTCAGCCATCTAATGTAACATCTAATGGTTTGGTAGTAGGAAATAATTTGGCCATCCTTGGAATAAAGAATGGCCTCATAGTATACAATATCTATTTTTAAAAAGTTCAAGGTATGGTTTGTATAAGGCTGAGGCTCTAAACAATGAAAGTAAGGTATACCTGTAAATAGTATTGAAAGATGTTTTAGTTTTGAAAATATTTGGGATGGCTTGAAATTCCTTTGTCATGTCTAATTATAAAATTTAAAGCTTTAAAAATAGTGTAGATCAAGCAGATCTATTATCACTTGAAAATCTTGAAAATTGACGGTCCAAGAAATGCATGACAATGTGCACTAATATCAAGACGTAAAATCATTTTTTTCTCATGTCCATACATCTTTAAGTCAAAATGAGCGACTTGAGAATTTTAGAGCATCTAAACAACCTTTTCTAGTGAATTTTTTACGTGTGCCTTAATTTAATTGTTTAGAGCATCGCTCTTATATAAACTATTTCCTTTTAAAAAACATATTTATTAAAATTAAAATTAAAAGGTAGGAAAAAGTTTATATAAGATTGCAACCTTAAAATGTAGAACTATAGATGCACCTAAAAAATCCATCAGAAAACGTTGTTTTAATGTTGAAAAACCCTCTAATCGATGATCTCGACATTGAAATGTACGGCTACGAAAAGAAAAAGGATTTTGAGTCTGAAAAATAGTGTATCTTACAATACATTATCTAAACCGTCCGTTTTCAAGTTTTTCTTATACTTATAGATGTACTTGATTTTAATCATTTTTTAAGTTTAAAGTTTTATAATTAGATATGAAATTAGATTTTGAGATAATCCTAAGAATATTTTACATGAGTGGTAAAGGTTGGAACCTCATGGAAACCGGACACTAAAAAGTAAACCCTGTGAATGGGATATTTTGACCCACTGTGATTGTGTTCGGGTTTTTTGGCCCCGTAAAACGATAATGTCTCAAATTAATATGGTGAAGCATGTGTACCCGCGGGACTCTACAGTTTATTCACAAAAAATATCATCATCTCTCCACAAAGCCTCTCTGGCTTCTTCTCTCCCGTTAAAATGGTTCGAAGCATCTTGATTTCTCGCTCTGCAACTCTGTCACTCTAGAAGCCCTAGGTTGCCATTTATTGTGAGATTAGAGTGCCTTACGAGTCACGCATCTCAGGTGGCGTTTACTTGTACTCTGATTTCCTTTTTTTATATGAGTTAGGGTTTGTTTTGTTGCATATTTCTGCATTTTTATAAATAGTAGAAGGATTTTGTTCGATTGCCATCGCCTGGCTGTTGTAGATTTGGAGCTTTTATTTTGAAGGATTTAGCATTTGATATGATGAAAATTATCTGGTGGATAATTAATTAATTTTTATTAATGTTCTTATTATTTATTCTAAGCATGTTGAGACGTTAGGCTTCTTTCTGTTTTCTCTATGAGGATTTTACCTCTCTAAACATAGTGTTAGGCTTTTCTCTTTGCCCTGTATCTGAGATTGTTACCTCTTTTTACAGGTTTGGGTTGATTGCTTTGCTATGTGTAACATAGGTGTGTCTCTGGTTTGTTTGGCTGTTGAAAAATACTTGTTGAGAAATTAATGGGTTTTTTTTCCTTCAATTTTCTCTATGATTAACGACTTGATGAGGTTATGATTTTCCCCTTTTCTATGAGATGAATTTTTATGCCATGCATTTTGTGTTTCTATTTGATTTATGTTGGTTTTGGAGTGATATTTCTTTTCTCTTTTAGAAATCCAACAAGTTCCAGTTCTTTGGTTTCATTATGTGATCGTAGTTGGAGTTTTTTTTATTTTGTTATAGGTTTTCTCTTTGATTTTCTTATTTTCTTATAGAATTTCTCTTTGATGGGTGGCTTAGATGCAATTACTTGGCTTCATGGTTCTAAATTTAGCCAATGATTTTACTTATCAACAAATCATTTACTTCTATAATTGAGCCAGGTATAATTTTTGGTCGATTTTTGTAAACTCAGTTCCATCTAGCTTTTTAGTCATTGCATCATGAAATTTTTTTATATAAGGTTGACTTCTTAACATAGAATTAAGTTTCACCTCTAAAACCCTTCGAAAATGGTTGTTTTGATGTTGGAAAAACATCTAATTGATTATCTTGACAATGAGATGTATAGATATGGAAAAAAAAAGAGATTGCAAGTCTTAAAAATTGACAATCTTAAAAATTGTACATCTTGCAACACATTATTTGGACCGTCCATTTTCAAGATTTTCATGTGTTTATATATCTGCTTGATATGAATCATTTTTGGTGTTTAAATTTTTATATGTAGAGACAAAAATAGATTTTTCACGGCTTCATAAGAATTTTCAACACCAAAATTGCATCTCATGACCAAGTTTGGGGGTACACCTTAATTTGATTGTTTAAGGTTGCAACCTTGTGCAAACCATACCCTTGTATCATACCTATGTTGTCTGCAATTTAGCCTTTGATATGGTGCCCTTCAGAAGAGTTCTTTGCTCAAGTTTAGTAATAAATGGTCGAGAGATTGACAACAAGAACTCATGGTCTGTTCGAGTATTTTGATATTAAGGCTCACATTATTCATAGTTTCATACAATAAAAGAGAAGTATTGTGTGCCCCATGCCTCTGAAGCTTTTAAGAGAAGTAGTAAGAGAGAGAACCAAATTGTATGATATTCTAAAATAAGAAACAAATTGTCTTAGCCTTTAAAGAGAGTTAAATTATCTAAGCTTTTAATACAATGAGAAAGAGCGAATCATGTCTAACCAATTAGAGAAAGAGGGAGTTTGTTTAAAAGCTTCTAGAGTGAGTTGAATTCTCTAAGCTTTAAAAGAGGCTTCCTTGATGCTAATATGAAGAACTTATAAATTGGAAATAGAAGGGGGCGATATGTCACATACAATTAAATATCAGGTAGAGTGAGCGGTGCTTTGCTAGCATCCAGAAAATAATTGTGTTGAAGATAGGTACATAGGGATGATTTTTGCTGGAAATTCTAGTAATTAAGTTGAGAGAGAGAGAGAGAGAGAGAGAGAGAGAGAGAGAGAGAGAGAGAGAGAGAGAGAGAG